ATATATATATATATAAAAATAACAAACAAAATTATCTAGTCGGTACGTAACACTTCTACAGAAGCAACGAGCAAGATAATTTAGTCAACGCAATACGTATTCTGAAACAACGAGCAAGATAATTTAGTCAAAGCAATACGTATTCTGAAACAACGAGCAAGATAATTTAGTCAACGCAATACTTATTAAGAAACATCGAGCAAGATAATTTAGAGGATGTAATACTTATTCAAAAAACAACGAGTAGGAAAATTTAGTCGGTGTAATACATTTACTTATATATTAAAAATAACAAACAGAAAAATCAAGTCGGTCAGTTGGGTCAGCCTGACCATACCCATGACGTTGAAGTGCCATAAGCAGGTGTGGTGTGGTAATCAACCCTATCCGTACGCCCTGGGTTCATTTTGTACCCTCGGGGTTGTATTCTTCACATTTTAGAATACTTCAAGTAAGAAGATCTCTTTGCAACTTTCAGTATTTCTTTTTAAAAAATCGTTTGGACAGACTGCTATGCAAAGCGTACGGATAGGATTAACTAGTAAATTTCGTCTTTGGAAAGTGGTGGCACAGAGTTCCCCACGTCGTTTGGATACGATAGTAAAACACGACGTACGGATAGCGTTAACCGATGGGAACTGTAAAGAAGAAGAGGTGCTGGGCCCAGAGAAGAAAAGATCAACTTAATCGAAGATCAACTAAAGCGAGGGGGCTCTCGTGGCCTAGAGGTTAAGGTGTTGGCCTCTCATTCAAAGGTCCCAGGTTCGAATCTGGGTAGCGACCGAAAAAATGTCCTCTCTTAAATTATCTCCTTTCACCTCCTTTCCTGCTCTCTGTCATCTGCTTTCGTCTCCTCTTTCTGCCCCTACCCTCTCACCTCCTTTGCCCCCTCCTCTGGGCTCCTGACTCTTTCTGCAGCATTTCTACTGCTACTCCTTGGCGCCTTCTTATTGCTGTCTTTCAGCCACACCCCTGATCTTCTGGTTGGAAAGATCTACACCTAACCTTCTCAGACAAGGGCGAAAAATCCCGGAAGGCCCTTGTGCAAGTTGCGCTCATTAAAGATCCCTCGGTGGTCTAAAATCGATAATTGTAGGCTTCGGCCGCCACCCGGGCAAAAATCAACATTTTCTACCAACTGAAAATAATATTATTAGGTGTGTCCCGCGCGCTCATATGACCTTATGCAGTTGTGAGCGCCGTAAAACACTTACAGAAAACAAAACAAAACCCCAATAAAACTCCAAAAAAAAATAAAAACAAGCTCCAGCGAGTTCAACACAAGAGGACAAGGCTGTAGAGAGCTGTTCTTTTACTCAGTTGAGGCAACCTGCCTCTACCCGTGAGGTCAAAGTGCCACAGGCAGGTGTGGGGTGGTAATTAATTTTCCCTCTTCCATTCAAATCACGGACTTGTGTGCTTTTGTTGTTGTTGTTGTTGTTTTTTTTAAATTTCTTT